AATTCTTTTTCGGTCTGTATTCGTTCATTGTTACTATAAAATAGAATAAAAATAACTATAATGGATGGTTTTTTGTTCAATCTATTTTGATTAAATATAAATTATAATATAATTAATATATAGCATAATAATAATAGTATGTATATTAACTTAAATGAGAATAAATTGAAGTCAGACCTTTTCAAGGAAGTTGGATGGGACTAATCCCCGCTTCTGATTGATCTCAGCCTCGTACCAGTCTTCTTTGGTCGAAATGACTTTGATCAAGTCTCCCTTCTTGAAAGATAATTCCATTCGGTCTGTCGCAGTATAGTTAAATAATGCTCTGTACATCGCAGGTTCATTGGAAGAGTTGATGAAGGCAGAGAAGTCGACATCAGCCTGGCCGAGCCAGTCGTCGTCGAGATCGTCCAAGTCCGTCTCTTTTTCTTTTCCAGAAATTATTTGACTTTCAGGCTTTTGCACTTTTCTGAAATCCTCGCTCTTATATTCGATCGTTCCGTCATTTTGGATCTCGTTCTCTTCTGCGATTTTGACAAGTTGAGGTTTTTCCATTTTTTCACTTTTGTTATTTTGATCGTCGGAACTGTTAGTGCCCTTCATGTCCATTAAAAGCCGCGTTTGTCGCTTTTGGATATTCCTCAAGTTTTTCTTTGTTGATTTTTTTGTAGCTACGATCTTGAGATCGTCACTCTTATCACTTTTCTTGACGTTTACATGGACCACTATATCCTTCTCACTTTTTTGAGGGACTTTTGGTGGTTCTTTTTTCGGTGGATTTGGAGCGACCCTTGGCGATCTTGGAGAGAGGGTCTGAGATTTTGGCGTTTTGATTGCACTTTTCGAAACGAGTGGATTTGAGATGTTGAGTTTTCCATCCCGTAAGTCCTGCTGGCGTATAAAAGCGACGAACTCTTCAGAGACAGACGACTGTTCGACCGGGGTGATACGAACGACTTTAATGAGATTACTTTCCAACGCGGATTGTAATGCGATTAAAGGCGCCCGTACTTCCTCGAGCTGTTCTGCATATAACATATCACATCCCAATAATCCGATCATAACTTCGTTGTATATTGCCAAAGAAGAGTCCATTGTATTGTTCATATCTCCCATCAACTCGTCTCGCAAATACACATACAAGCCAAGTGCGTGGTCATATCGATTCTTCGCGTTTTGATAGTTTTCCGACTTTGATGTATTCATCTCATCGAGCATTCTATCGCAGTTCTTATGTCTCTTCTTGAGTATCACAAAACGGGAGTCCAACTCGTTATACACTCTTTTAATCTCCATCAGTGGCGTTAATATGATCCGTTCGACCGTTTGTTTATATCGTTTGACAGACAAACTCTCGACGTCGTTAACGGTCCGATACTTCTTTGACGCCGAATTTAATTCGACGTTCTGCAGAGTCAGACGATCCAACGTCTCTGCCGTGAGTTGTCTCCCTTTGTGGTACAATTCAATTTGGTCCAACATTTGCATCAAATTGTGATACAACTCGTTCAACCCACTTTCTTGGTATTGAAACACTTTCATCAATTTGTCAAATTCAACGTCAACAGTCTTCTCTGCCATATTCAGCGTCGTTTTCATTTGGAAAAGTTTCTTGTTTAATGACTCCTTGATCGACATCTTTCGTTTACCTGATCTGTTCTTAGTTTGTCTCAAACACACTGAAACTATCGAATTTCTCTCAACTGTCGGTTTTTATAGTTACTATACTTTATAATATATATTACTATTTTTATTAATACAGTTGTTATTTATTACCAAAAACTTGAAGTAGTAGTTTCGCTAAATTTAGTCTTTAGCAATCAGTTGGAGTTTTTTCACTTTTCAATTGAAAACACTCGATCGGAACAATGTATTAAAAGTAATAATATAACAAACTATAAATAGATATAATATCATCAACCATTAAATAAATAAAACAAAACTAATTAAATGTATAATAAAAATATATTAAATATGAAAAAAAAGTATA